GCTGATGCAGGACCTTCCTTTCTTTTGTTGGTCGTCATTGAATATGACTATGTTTATATACATTGTATATGTATGATTGTTTAGAAAGAGAAAGGGGATGTATTCCAAGTGTGATTATGTGTTTAAATATATTGTATATGTATCATTGTTTGAGAGGAGAAAGAGGATGGACTCCATTACAATTAAGTTGGCCGGAGTGGCCTGGGTGAAAGTCCCGAAATTTATACATGGGTGTCGATCCTGCAGACGAAATATCCGTAAAATGGCAATTGGAAGTGTTTGTGTGTTGATTATGAAATTGTTGAACCATTGAGTTGTAGTCTCATTTGGGCATTGGTAAATAATGAAATTGGCTCGTGTATTGAAACAAATTGAAGGGAAATGGAATGAAATAAAATATGGACTTAGTGTTCTATGACTATATAAAATGTGATCATTTTATTTCCGGCATTGTAAATGCACATTGCACTTATACCTTTGTTAAATCTCATATACTGTGTTAGATTATTCCTGCGGGGCTGTGCCTCACCCTATTTGGGAAAAAAAATTTCAGGTAATGATGGCATGCCTCCACCAAGGCAATAGCATTTGAGCGACTTTTGGGAAGCAAGAGCTTCTTGTTTGTTTTACTTTTGTATAGCCTAGGGCTAAATTGTATGAGCTAATCTCATTTTTGTTGTAACCGAGCCAAGACTTGGAAAGGTGTAAGCCTGAAAGGCATCTATTTACGTTAAACTCTTTTGTATTATTAATGTTATGAAATGAAAGGGTATTATACTCTGATTTTGCTGTCATTTATGTATGCTTTCAAGTTATATTTAGTGCATACTTTTGAGGGCGTGACATTATTTATTGTGACAAACGTAATAAATTAAATATACTTTGATTATTGGATTAATCTAATTTATTATGTGAATAATATATACAAAGTATTCGGTAAAATAAATAATTCAAATCGTCGAAACATAATCCGTGATAAACCTTACAATCCTAAATAATGCCCTCCAATTCATATTATTAACTAATGGAAATCCAACTCCTTTTCAATATATTTATATAATATACATGGCAACTAATTAATGAGACAGATGTTTACGTGTTATTGTTATTTATCTTTTCTTGGGACTACTTATGAAATAGCAGCTTACTAGCTTGAGAGACCTCTGCTACTTCGCTAGCTAATGTTAGATATAAGACTCTAATCATCATTAAGCCGATCAGTTATCTAAGTAAAACACATATTTTTATTAGTTTAAAATTATGTAAATCATAAATTTTGGTGAATCAATGCAATTTTTTGTTTTCACATAAGTAAAATTTTTGATGTTGTCTTCGTCGACACTATCCTAAAGTTGATGGTAGGCACTATCCTAAGGTCGATAGTAGGCGGAGACCTTAGGTTTTAACTCTCTTAATGGGAGTTGAATTAAGGAGGCAAATATTTAGTACTTTGTAAAAGATGAGAAAATTAACTCCTATAAGAGTGTTAATCTAATAACTAATAATTAATTTTGGTAATAGAAAAAAAAAGATAGTGAGAGAGATGTGGAAGAAGCAATTATAATGTGGGGGTTTGCTTTGCAGTAGTGATGTATTTCTAGTAAGATAAGGAATCTAGCTTTACAGGTACAGAGACTAGCATTGTATTTGAAGCAAGATTTATGATATTAGTAGATTGATAATTTATATTTCAAAAAATAAAAAATCTTAATTCATCATAATTGTGGTGTTCAAGGTTGCAGCTAGGAATCTCTAATCCGTCGTCCATCCACCGGATTGGCGGATTGAAAAAAATCAATCCACATTCGTCTGCCAGATTGGCAGATGCAAATTGAGTAGATTGGCGGATTGACAAAAATCGATTTGGCAGTTTAAAGTTTTACAAATTTTTAACATAATATGATAACTTGTCAACATTTTTTTTTTAGATAACAATCCAACTAGTAATGAGTACTCAACATAATCAAAAGATTATTAAGTAAATTTTCAAAGACCAATAATAAAAAAATATATATATATATATAAAAGAAAATGATACATTATTAAAACTATTTCATTACTTTTTTTTTTATTCAAATACTACTTAATTTGATTTTTTTTTTTTAAATGACAAAATTTAGCCTTATACTTTCCACACAAAAATACCAAATATCAACATTTGTCATTTGATAAAAGGATTTCTAAATTGAAAACAAATTGAAAATACAACATAATATCTAAACTTTTTTTCAATTGAAAACGCAAACTAAATATCTAAACAAATTGAAAACACAAAGTCTTACAAAATTACTAGAAATGCTCGCGGTTTGGCGGTTCGATTTTGGCCAAAGAAACCTCAAATCTGTCATCCGTTCAAAACTAGACGGATTGGAAAAAATCAATCCACAACTGTCCGCTCGTCATCACACATATGTCCAAAATGCGACAGATCAATTTGGTTCGGTCGGTTTGGGTGGATTAGAGTATTTGCTGAACACCCCTAATCACGTGTTGTAATTGTTGGTGGTGGGAGCAATTATGAAGAATTCAATTAATAAATTTTTTCATTGTAAGTTTATGCTTTTTTATAAAGACCAATTTCTAATACTTATTTCTATTATGGATCTAACAATTATGTTAATTTCTAAAAATTTATTGCATGCTTATGTAATCTAAGTGTACTTTTACAAAATAAATTTCCAATATCTTCAGTCGCAGTTCAATGGTTTAAAATCTATATTTATTAAGTGTATAATATGGATGACAGAGGCTATTGAGAAAATGTGTATATTTATTCTCAATATAGCCAATAATAAATTTTCATTGTAAGTTTCTTCCTCTTCTAGAGGATGCATATGGTTATAATATTACTTATGCATTTATGTTTTGTATTTCCATGATTTCATATTTCAAAAATTCTATAAGGTCTGCTTTTAATTTTTAGATTTTATAGTAGTGCATTTTTTCTTGAATCATGTTATACTTATTATATTTTTATATTATATTATATTTTATTTTATTGTGTGACTAATTTTATTTATTGTAATTTTAAATTATAATTTATTTGATATTTTTATAGTTTATTTGGCCAAAAAATAGAGGCTTTTAAACTACAATTTGTATAAAAAAAATAATAATAAAATAAAAACTTATTTGAAACCCTTGAATACATATGAACATAAGAGTCTCAAATCTTTCGTCTTACTTATAACTTTTGAGGCATTATGAATATGTACACACAATTAAAATATAGCGATCCCGGGTTTACGCTTGTTGTACAGTGATCCGGACATGTGTCCGTGGATGTTGGTAGTTGTTTATTATCTTGTTTACATTTTTTTTACTTTGTATATTGAGTTATGGGATGTGTTGGGCAGGTTTGTTACAGGTTGGTTGTGTTTGGGAGCCTAGTGTTGCTGCCCAGATTTTTGGACCTTCGCTCGAGCGAGGAGTTGGTCGCTCGAGCGAGAGTATTCTACAAGAAATGAAATCCAGACCTTGTTGAAATGCTCATATTGTCTATTGCCAAGGCCAAACACTCCGTACGAAAGATTAAGCCATTTCTCTCTCCTTTACCCTATAGGCAGTCATATAACATGCCATGAAACCCAAATCTCACTTGGTAAAAGAACCATAGTAACAATAAAAATTAGAAATTAATCAAAATTTACCTTTGAAAACCATTTATAGAACCTTGCAGAATTGTCAGTTGGCTCACCATCTCCATATCTATACCACAACAAACAAATAAATTAAATACAATGTTATATACCAACAATACACAAGTATGTATATATGTATGTATGTATGTGATGTGAAGTAAAAACTCACATAGCTAAAAAGAAAAATGCCTAAATAATATAATGAACTAGAGAAAGAATCAGATTGGAAGAGTTATTGAAATCTTCCAATAACAAGATAGCTTAGCTTAAGTTCATCTTCCTAAATAATTATCCAAAAATCAGATTGGAAGAGTTATTGAAATCTTACATTTTGGGATGATGAAGCCACTAAATAATAAGACAAACAATACAAACAAACTACCAGCTGTTGTAGAAGCAACCGCGGTGCGGAAGACAGATGCCACAAAACGAAACATGGATGTAGCTGCTAAGTGTAGAGCTAAAAATAGAATGCACTGGAGAAAGAACCTAAGATACAAGGCAATGATAGAAATTAATTCAAAATTCCTATTCAGTTTGAGAAGGGTGTGTTTGTGTATGGTGTGAATGTTTATTTGAAAATACCAATAAAGCTTCTGGTTGCTAAATGACTAATCTGAGTAGTTGATTTAAATATTGGTAAAACAGTGACAACTTGTTCAAATCAAAGACATATTTGGAGAAAAACAATATATATATATATATATATATAACGAAGAATAAAATGCAAGCGTTGTCAAGTGACACTAACCTCCCAGCCTCAGGACTGTATCCAACGAGATGTTCAAATTAGAGCTGAAAACAATGAAATAGGAACCTTTAGAATGGTGGTTGGGATTGCATATGCCCAAGCTGGATAGAAGTACAAATCTCTCTGTTTGTAGAAAACTACAAGTCTTCCAGCAGTCAGGGACAACTCCGGAAATCCATCAAAAAAAAAAGTTCATGTAACCAATCTCTACACTTCATCGGCACCTACAGAGAAATCAAACACCGATTAACACTTGTTGATGAAAAACAAAATAAAAACGACTTGCTTGAAACCTTGTTAATTAGCAGATTTAACAAAATGCGAGAGAGATCAGATCAGATCGAGTTCGGATTTTGATCAAATTAGATCAACTTCTTGTTCGATTTCGGATCTACAATCTGCGAGACAGATCGAGTTCGAGTTTGATGAAGAAAAGCTAGAGCAAGAATCGATCTAACAAAATGCAAGAGAGATCAGATCAAATCGAGTTTGGATTTCGATCAGATTAGATCGACTTTCTTGTTCGATTTCGGATCTGCGATTTGTGAGAGAGAGAGACAGAGACAGAGAGAGAGAGAGAGAGAGAGAGAGAGAGAGATGAAGAACATCTAGAGTGAGAAAGATCGAATTCGAGTCCGATGAAGAACAACTACAGTGAGTAAGAGATCGATATTAAGAGCGAAGAGTAGCTCATGAGAGATTTTGTTACCTATGGTAATTGGAATGGGTTAAGTGTTTGTTAAGTAAAATAGGTTTGGCTCATTGAGACCATCAACAGGGCATCACGCCTCGAAAACGTGTTGGCTATTGAGATATAACACGGCGTTTTATAAAACGTCTTTGATTCAAGCGCCATTATAGGCAACTTTTCTTGTAGTGTATATATTACTTTTTTTTTTCTATTTCATATGATGAGGACGAACCAACTCAGATTACCTTGAGTAGGACCGGTACCACCAGGAATATCTGTCACAATCCTGATAAATTTACAAAATTCTACACAAATTAATAATGAATCCATCTACATTAGCCATATCAATCAAACAAATTAACTAATTCATGGGGAGAAACTAAAAGGAAAAAGTTAATTATTTAATATTAGGATGATCAAAGTTTGGGCATGTTTCGTAATGCCAACCTAGTTGGAATGGCTTAACGTTGCTATAATACCTCTTGCATCCACTCCTTTTTATTGATATAGGTTTATATGCATGTTCATATCTTATTAAAAAAAATATATATGATTAAAGTTTGTTTGCTCATTATGACATGGAAGTTTATGTCTCAACATTATGGGAGTGAGACCTATTATATTAATACAGTAATGACAAGTCAAAATGATAGTATAAAATTTAATTTGTTCATAACAATATTATTCCCAAAAAAGAAAAAAGCACTAACCAATGCACCCATTCACGCATGGAGGGTTCACTGGGACTTGGTGCATCAGGATCAGTCATCACCTGCATGCATGATCAAACTTGATTAGTTTGTCAAAAAAATAAACTTAGAAATGCACTAATGAAGACTGAAACACTTGAAACCAAAATAAGAAACTAGATGAGAGAGAAGGGGGGGTGGAGGGAGAGAATGGAAAACAAACCAGAGTGTAGAGTTGATGAGGATGACCAGAGATGGTGACTCTAGGAGGATTAGAGGCAATAGAAGGCTTGATGTCACAACCATTAGTGACATGTTTGGAACCAAAGTAGACATTCATAGTGACACTTGGCACAAACATGTCTACCACATCCCCTATTACTCTCCCTACCACCAATGGATCAATTGAGGCCGCCATGATCTCTGATCAACAAAACTCACTTTTATATCTATAGATATATGGAGGATTGATGAAATGTATAGCTTTTCTCAAACCATGACACCAATGTCAATGTGGTGTGTATCCTAAAAATGTACTAGCTAGTAGCTATAGTTTATATATGGGGCAAAATTTACTTTAACTTTGTTGTTTGAGATCGAAACATTTTTTTTTTACCTCTTTATGGTTTAAAATGTAATTGTTAACCCTGTTAAATATTATAATATCCGTAAATTTTATATCTTTTTTTTATATATATAATTTTTAATTTCTAATATTAATTCAATTAAATCACAATTAATCATATTCTCATCAATAAAGTTTCTTCAATGCAACCTAGTTCGGATTGTTAAGTCTTGCTTTGATATTCTCTGTACTTGCCTCTTTATTGATATTTGTATCAGTCATCTTGTACTCTTATTTTCATTAATAAAGTTCTTTAAGGACAACAACACCAATTATACAATGACAGAATCTACAGAACCTAAGTCCGGATACAATAATCAAATGGGAAAAGACCGGGGTCGCTATAAAAAAAAATCACAATTAATCATAAATTTTATAATAACTAAAATTTTAATCTAATTTCAATTTAATTATATTTAAATTATAATTAATCCTAAATCTTTAATTATTTATTCCAATTATCAACTTTTTAATCTATTATATTTTATATCATAATTAATCATAAAATTTTAACTATTTATTGTAATTCTTAACATCTTAATATAATTTTAATATAATTATATTTTAGATAAATTCTTAATTCTTAATTATTTTATCTTTTAAATCACTTCTTAATTATATTTTAATTAATCTTTTAATTTAATTTGGAGAAATTACATATCAGGTTATTTTTATAAAAATAATTATAGATTAATGAAAAACTTTATCAATATAAATAATTAAAATTGTGAGTTTTTCAATAATTTTGTAGTTATTTTTCTGGCGATCCACTTGTAATTTTCCCATTTAATTTTTGGTTTGGAAAAGTTGGGATTAAAATTATCTTTTTGTTATGTTAATTTACCTTTATTTTTAGAAAAAATCAAGTCCACTCTAAAAAATGATGTGTGTGTGATATACCTTTCCAAACTAACGATAACATTTTAATTCAAAATCATATTAATACTTTTTAATTATATTTGACTAAAAGGAAGTAAAGTGCTTCGATCTCAAACTAAGGGTAAAATGATTTTGCGTGCATGTATATATATAAGGGTGTGCGGGGTGCGGTTCGGGCGGTTTGAAAGTAAAATTATAAACCGAATGGCGGGTTAGCGGATTGGCGGATTGACAAATTGCGGTTTGGGCGGTTTTTGGCAGATTGACGGATTGAAGAATATTCTAACTAATTATCATACATTTGCATAATATATAACACTAATTTGTATAATATTTTTTAGATATATAACACAAAGTAATTTTACATAACATGTTTCATATATATAACCACTAATTTGTAATAAATTTCATATTTTAAATCTTTTTCACACTCATTTTTACATTGATATTTTAATGAAAGTTAAAAAATTTATATGTATTAACTTTAGCAGAGCGGATCGGTTCAGTTGGCAAAATATAAATTTAAAAGTTTAAATCGCGGTTAGCGGTTAGAACGGTGCGGATTGATGCGAATCGGTGCGATTTTAGCAGATTAGGCGATATTTTGCACAGTCCTATATATATATATATATATATATATTAGAAGTGTATGAACAGTAACGTATGCTGAAAATGGGGCATATGAGAGAGAAGTGTATGAACAGTAACGTATGCTGAAAAAGGGGCATATGAGGGAGAGAAGTGTATGGAGAGAGAGAGAGAGAGAATTGATTTCAAAATTTCATATACTTTCCCAAATATTGATATAGTATGAGGACATTAGTGAAAGGAAAACAAATGTGACAAGGTGTATGCTTTATAAAAAAAATAAATAGCAATATATAACTATATATAATTTAAATTCAAAATAATGTAATTGCATTAAATTTTAAACATCCATTTAAATGATAACTAATTATAGTAATGTCACTATCACTTATAAAAATTTGGCTTATACATTTTTGGTCTCAAATATTTAGTTCATTTATGTCATTTTAATTTTTAATATTTAAATTGTACCAATTTAGTCTCTAATTAATAAAAGTGTTTTAGTGGTTTAGTTTGATCCTTAATGTTTAAATTGTGTCAATAGTTCGTATTCTATAAAAAATATTCAATTTAATTATCCAGTTGTGTCCAATAATAGAGTTATTGGAGGATTAAATTGAAACACTCTTTGTATATTAGGAACTAATTGCATTAAATTTTAAACATCCATTTAAATGATAACTAATTATAGTAATGTCACTATCACTTATAAAAATTTGGCTTATACATTTTTGGTCTCAAATATTTAGTTCATTTATGTCATTTTAATTTTTAATATTTAAATTGTAACAATTTAGTCTCTAATTAATAAAAGTGTTTTAGTGGTTTAGTTTGATCCTTAATGTTTAAATTGTGTCAATAGTTCCTATTCTATAAAAAGTATTCAATTTAATTATCCAGTTGTGTCCAATAATAGAGTTATTGGAGGATGAAATTGAAACACTCTTTGTATATTAGAAACTAAACTGATACAATTTAAACATTTGGGATGAAATTAAAATATTTTTATATATTGAAAATTAAATTGATACACTATATATTAAAGATCAAAACACACAACAGTAATATTTTGGAGATTAAAGATATAATTAATCCAACATTTTTCTTGCATAAATATTATTTTTGTATAAATATAATATATATATATATATATATTTTGCATATTATTATTCTAAACAGATGATGTTTTATAAATGGTGGTTTGGGATGTCCTAAATAAGTGTACTTTTTAACTTTTTATAAAAAGATGTGTAGAAAAATAGAGAGAAGATGTTAATTGATGTGACTCAAAAAAAATAAAAAGATAGACTAAAATAGATTATGCCAAATCACCCCTAAGTGTCTAATTTATTTTTAAAAAAATAAAAATAAAAATAAAAATAGCGAGGGAGAGAGGGTAAGGTGCCGAACATGCATAGGGCAATCAAAAACGTAGAGATCAGGGAGGACAATGTGCACCACGTGCGACCTCACCCCCTGAATCTATGGGGGTATTTGTTTCAGTTTTTCAGAGGTAATTTATGCCTTTTAATTTTGAAAAAAGTTATTTTAGATTGTTTGGTTAAACTTATTTCAAACAACTTCTGATTCTAATAGCTTATTTTAATTCAAAAAAACTGATTCTGAGAAGCTGCTCACCCCTTGCTTCTGATTATCAGCTTCTGCTATGGACATGTTAATTTATGGTTATACTCTTAAATTTTTTTATTTTTTATTTTTTTAAAAATAGAAAAAGACTCAAATGGACTATAGATTATTATTTTTTTTTTATGAGAAATGTAGACAAACAAAACATAAAAATTAATTGAAAAAGTTATTTCACAACTTATTTAACAAACACTACTCAGCAACTTAAATCTATAATCCAACAGTTACACCAAACAGATTAACAACTTCTGATTAAAGTCATAATCTATAATCTGTTAAGTTATAATCTATAAGTTGTTTTAACAGGCACACCAAATAAGGTACTTACTAATTCATTTTGACACGTGGCTAAAGAGATAGCGTCCGTTACCTCCGAATCCCCACCACGGTAATTGATTGTGATGATGGAAAAAGGCGTTTCTTTTCTTTGGGATGACCATCTCCCTCCGTGGACTTTGTTTAAGAGAGCATCCACATCAAATTTCACAATTTTTAAGTTAAATTATAATTTTAAAATATATATATACATAAATTTTAATTTTTATATTCTATTAAATCTTAATTAAATTTATTTAGATTTTTAAGTTCTATTAAATTTTTAATAATTGAAATTTCCTGTCAAATAATAATTGTTCATCATTTATGATTATCTATAAAAAAAACATGATAATTTGATATTTATTTTGATTTTCAAAATTTTAAAATATCAACTTTCAAATTGAAATTTTTTTAAAAAAATTATGTAAAAAAAAACTAGTCGGCTTGTTTGGTTTTGGTCTCCAGAAAACACTTTTCGAGAAATTCTATTTTTTTTATTTTTTGTATTTTTTTATTTTCAATGAATTTTTTAATATTTTAATCAATTTTTTTAATTTTTAGACCCACCTAACATAAATACATTTAAAAAGTATAATATTTGTGAATTTTAAAAAAAATCACTAAATACCAAAAATACAAAAAATATACGAAAATTCAATACATTTTTAGTATTTTTGTGTACTTATTAATTTTTTAAAATATTTTTCACAAATATTTTACTATGTAGATACATTTAAGTAAGGTGCATCTAAAAAAGTAAAAAAAAAATTCCTTAAAATTTTTAAAATATTCATTAAAAATAAAAAAAAATGCAAAAAATAAAAAACTCAATTTTTCAAAAAACTAAATTCAAAAAACTAAAACTAAACATACTGAATGTTTATTTTTTTGAAAAACTTAAAAAAATTAAATTATTTTGTTGTGCAAAGCTAAAAATTTTGTATATATAAAAAAGTATGATGATAGAATATTGATGTGCAAAACTGGTAAAAAAAATTTAAATGAAAAAATTACTAATGTTCTCAGTTTTAAAATTGAAAAAAATTGATAACATTCTCGGTTTTATTAGATAGTTGAATCAAACTAATAAGTTGAAGGGCAAAAATGTTTAATCCCATTTTCTTTTCTTTTTTATCAGTTAGTGAAACAATTATCTGTAATATTATTATGCAAAATTGATAATATTCTTAATTTTAAAAAATGAGAAAAACTGATAATATTCTCAGTTTTATTAAATATGATTTATTGGTTCAAAAAATCTTAAATAGAATCTGAACTACTATAACATTTGTAAATATAAGAATTTTTAGGTAACTAATGTATTAAAAAATTATTTTTTTTTAATTTTATCTAATACTTTT